GGCGGCCCGGTCCAAAATCGAGGCCCCGGCTTTCAGCCGTGATCTCCGGCGGTAGGCCGCAAACTCCGGAGCAGGCCTGCCGGGAGCTGGAGGCACGGGCGGCCGGCGTTTTTTTTGCCCATCAGGGCACCAGAGAGAGACAGGGGGCCAGGGAGGAAACAGGGGGACCCCCCTGAGGAGAGAAAATTGGCCGATGTGTCCGGCGGCCGAGGAGTTAATTTACAAAGCAGCCATCTTGGTTGCTGCTCACGAGCGCCCCCCCCAGATCCCTTTTTTATGCTTGCTGTGTTTTCCACATCGCTTTTGTCAAACTTCAAATGCCCTTTTCCCGCCCACGCTTCCATCTAGCCCAGCTTTGTGGATCGTCAAGATTATACTTGTCCAATGGACAGTTCCTGCTATCTCAACTGCTGGTTCTTCAGAACTACTGTTGACCGTTGTGTGGCCCGCTCTGACTAATGCCCTTATTACACACTCTTAAATTTGAATGAGGCCTTCTACAGGCAGAATTGTGGTTCTGCCATATTATTTCCAGGGGGTTTTAATGTTTGGAATATCTTTATAATACATCCCAGGGCTTGTTCTATCCTGGCCTTCATGATACAGATTGTTTATATATTAAAATACATCTATTTTTCTACAGTGTGACCCTTTAACCACTTCCAGTCCGGACTCTTTTACCCCCTTCCAGTCTGGACTCTTTTACCCCCTTCCAGTCTGGACCCTTTTACCCCCTTCCAGTCCGGACTCTTTTACCCCCTTCCAGTCCGGACTCTTTTACCCCCTTCCTGTCCGGACTCTTTAACCCCCTTCCTGTCCGGACTCTTTTAACCCCCTTCCTGTCCAGTGCCAATTTTCAGCTTTCTGTGCTATCACACTTTTGAATGACAATTGCGCGCGGTCATGCAACACTGTACCCATATAAATTTTTTAGCATTTGTTTGGTTCAGATAAAGCTTTATTTTGGTGGTATTTATTCACCACTGGGATTTTTATTTTTTTTGCTATGTAAATGAAAATGTCCAAAAATTTTGAAAAAAAGTGTTTTTCTTAAAATTTTGCCAATAAATAGTATTTCATCATAAATCTTGGTCAAAATGTATTCCGGTATCTTTTTAGTAAAAAAACAAAAAATAACCCAAATTAGTTTATAACCAAAATGATAATTTTTCAACTTTTTTTTACTCTTTTTTTATATATATTATTATTTTATATGTATTTTTTTTTTTTCTTTTACATACGGTCACCCTAGCATTAAAGTGTCACCATAGTGACACTGTACTACTTGTGGGGGGTTATGAAGATTTTTTTTTTAATTTTTTTTACACTGATTGCTTTTACCACCCATAAAGGCGGTAAAAGCAATCATTTCTTCTCTCTAGCTGCTTTCTTGCAGCCATTGAGAACTACTGTGTGAGCTGTGATTGGTCACAGCTTGTCACATGGTACAAGGCTGTTGTGAATAGCCTTGTACCATGTGACCTCTGTGATCATTCACAGATTTCACACGTAGTAAGCAATGATGTCACAAGTGACATCTTGCTTACTACTCTGCATGTGATCACTGATTGGCCAATCAGTGATCACATGATCGGGACCTCGCACAGAGGTCCTGTCCGACGATCGGTGTTCCACTGTGTCCAGAGGAGACAGCGGGCACTGGATCGCAGTGCTGCGTGCTCCCAGGGAGTGCGCACAAGCAGGGTGTGGGGAGGCCATTTATAAACGGCCACTCGACCCTGCACTGCCACAGTCCGGCCGTTTATATACAATGGCCTGATGGGAGGTGGTTAATTGCATGCAAGCCCCTTTTATCCAATTATACACAAGAACTTGTTAGGGGCTTCACACTAATGGGGGTGAATAAGCATCAAGTCAAACTTTGTTTTTATTTGTAAGTTAGAAAGCTTCAAAAGTTTTTTTCCACTTCAACATTATGGACTTTTTTGTGTAGATCAGTGGCATCCATCCAGATCAACAGCACAACTATCCTTCCCTCCCCTCATGCCTATGCTAGGTATAATCCTTGACTCTGACCTTTCCCTTTACCCCTACATCCAAACACTGTCCAGGTCTTGCTACCATCTCCTCGATAACATTTCCAAAATAAACCAACACCACTAACCTACTAATGCACTCCCTTTTTATATTTTGTTTTGACTATTACAACTTCCTCCTCATTGGGATAGCCCAGGCTATCCCCACTTCAAGTAATCCATGAATGCTGCTGCCAGACTTACCTACCTTACTAGCTGCTCAGTGTCTGGCACCCCCTCTTGACAAATCTTCTACTGCCTTACAATTGTCCAATGAGAAAAAAAAAAAATCAAAATTCTACCAACATAAAAACCATCCACAACTCTGCCCCAAGCTACATCACCAATCTTGTCTCAACTCATTATTCAAACCGCCCTCTCGCTCCTCCCAAAACCTTCTGCTCTTTTTTTTTTTCATACCCTCATCCCATGTTCGCCTCCAGGACTTCTTCAGAGACTCGCCCATCCTCTGGAACTTACTACCCCAATCCATCTTCCACTCTGTATGCCTTTAAGTGATCTCTGAAAACTCATCTCTTTAGGCAAGCTTATTCTGCTTCTATTTAACAACTGAATTTTAGTTCCTCTAACAGTTCATCTTCACACAGTTACTACTTTTCATATCACTTGCAATTCCGTTTTTGATTGTAACCTCTCATGAGCAGAGTTCTCCTAACCCTTGTGTCTTGAATTGTATTGTAACTTTACTGTCCCCCTTCATTTTGTAAAGTGCTGTGCAAACTGTTGATGCGATATAAATCCTTAATTATAATAAAATCCCAATTAAGTTGATTACATTTTGAAATTATGGTTGTAACTCTTCAAAATGTGGAAAAGTCAAAATGGGGTAAATATTTATGTACTATGCATGTTTGTCAAACGAGCCTTCACAGATCACCTGTAACCATCCCCTGGTGCCTTTGGCTAGCTTAAGGGATACGTGGACTTAAGTGTGATATTCCAGTGTCTTCCAGTGTCTGGTTATACAAGCCTTTGTGCTGGCCTTACTCTGGACAGTTTTTCTTACAACTTCAATCAGCTTTTGATCTCTGTAATATTCGAACCTTTCAAGACAACCTACTGTTAACAGGTTTTAAGCTTTAATAGGCTACTTTGCTTTTACATTTTAAAGCAGTATTACACCAAAAGCAAACCTTTATTATATTGCAGCTTACCAATTCTTAGATGTGATGTCTGCATTAGTGTTCTTTTTTAGGCTTTCTTTCTTCTCTTTTCATCTTGTGATCCAGCCAGTAAGTCTGTTTTTCAAAAATCCCTCTTGCAAATAGATCCGTTTTCAGAGATGAGGCAAGTTTTTATTTATGTAAAACATTTATAAGCAGTTACAGCAGTTTTTTTTTTTTTGAACCTTTTGGGATAAAGTGTTGGCTGGAGTGTGCTTTTTATTTGTTAGTGTATTTAAAGTTGAACTATAGGCAAAACTTTTTTTTTTTTTTAATTTTGGATAGACTAAGGGAGGGTTATAACCCATTAGATTTTTTTTTTTTGCCAGCTGTGTCCTATTGGGGAGATTTCCCTTATTCCTGTCCCAAAGCCAAACAAGTAGTGGAAATCAGTGCAAATTAAGGGAACTCCTTGAGAACCCCCATATCATTAGAACTAGTGTCCCCATTGGAAGATTTCCCCTCTGTTACCTTTCAGGAGACAACTCAAAATTTGGGATTTTCTTTTACTGTCACTTTTAATGATAATGGTAAACAGGATAAATATAGAGGGTGAATTTCCCTAATGGGGGCACAGACCGCAATAAAAACTGACAGGGGTTCTAATCCCTCTGCACTATATCCAAAACGAAAAAAAATTTGCCTTTAGTTATACTTTATATCTGCTGGTACATCAAACACTCCCCTCCCCCCAGACTGACAATGCTGCTGTTCAAAGGTCCCTCCTGTGCTCTCATCCAGAATGGGGGCACTTTAATACAGGAGGTTTGTTACTGGCCAGATCACCAGGTGAAAAGGGGGAAGAAAAACTAAAAAAAAAAAATGCAGTCATCACATGCAGGGCTTGGTAGGCTGCAATATATTACATTTTTTTGGTTTGGGTTTAATACCGCTTTAAAGCTAAAAGTAAGTGGTTGAAATTGCCATAAAATGTGCGGCTTGCCTTGGAGTAGGTAGACAAGACCACGGATATTCACTCAGCAGCAAGTTTACATCCTTGGTTTTGGACAATGTCGCAGGGCTCTCCTGATTCTTGGGAGTAGGTGAGCGCTCTGGAGAGCCTTTCGGAGCAGGCGAAAGTGCAGCCTGGTTTCAGCTCTCTTTACTGAGCACTCGTGTCTAATTAAACAATCAGCCCAATACTCTCTGCACACAGCAGGTGCCAGAGTACTCTCAGTGCTGATGTGTTTGATCTTTTGATGACATTATGCAGGAAAAATAACTGGATGCAAGAGATGTCAACATTTCATGAAGTTGCACAGTATATAGGGACTGATGGGAATGTACAATATATAGGTGTAAAGCGCTGCGTAAATTGACAGCGCTATATAAGTACCTGAAATAAATAAATCTTATTATACAGTATTTATAAAGCGCCCATAGTTCACTCAGCTCTGTACATTACAAAGGGGGACAGAACATGTGACAGAACAATACCAATACAATGCAAAACATGAGGGGATTGAGGGCCCTGCTCTTTCGAGCTTACAATCTAGGAATATATAAATATTTAACTAGCAATGAGTTTCTTTTTCTCTAGTAATATGAAAACCATGAGCACTGCCTTTTTTTTTTAGGTAGGATCTCTAAGTTCCTGTTCTTAGCACACCATTTGCAGTCCCCTTTCCATAACTCTTCTGTGAAGTAAGGCTTCTATAGAGATACAGTTGGAGTGTACTTGAGTAAGCACTGAATGCTAATCTGGGTTGACATCAACTAATCTGTGTTCCCGAGGCTGGCGACAGCTATGCTTATGTAATCCTTTGCTTGTGTTTTGCAGATGATTACTGTGAATGCTTCCTTATTCCCTAGTTCTATAACCAATTCCTTAATAGCAGTTGGAAATGATGGCCTTCAGGAGAGGGACAGAATGGTTCGGGCCTGTATCGCAATCATCTGTGAACTAGGTAAGGCCAACGGTCTTCTGTTGGAAAAGAAGAAGAAAGCCAACACAACTCCTGCTTTCTGAAATCCACTACATGTACATCTATCACCATGTTATTTTCTGGAATAACAAGTTTTAAATTAAAATTTACAGGAAGTGCTTTCCTAATTTAAAATCAAATTGCAGCAACCCTTAATAACCCAGCAACATACATCCATCTAACAGAGTGGCAGGGGGACAAAAAAGAGGAATATCATCTGCTGGGGGGGGGGGGGGGAGAGGTAAGACGTGAGTATCAGCACACCTCCCCAAATATAAAAAATCTCACTGTAGCCACTACACCCACACTTTAGTTTTTGTTTTTTACCAGAAAACTACACTCACACTTTGTAAACTATTTACCTCTAATGCCAAAAAAAAAAAAAAAAAAAACCTTGGGCATCATTATTTCTCTATGGAGTTTTTTTCTATCTCTGGGTACCAGGAGGATCTTTTTGTGTGTAATGCATGTCATTTCCTGAAACTACATGTCATATGGTTCTTTAGTAGTCAAGTATAGTTGGCTCAAGGGCAGTTAACGGGGAAGCCACCCACAGTACATAATTGCATAATGCAGAGACTGCGCAAGTATGTACGCTATTTGTACCCATTCAGTCCTGCCAATCAGTATTGTATGCATGATGGCTCTGCAACTACTTTGCAGAGTCAAAACTACAGTCAGCTTGTGGAGGACAGGCATCACATTGCAGCAACAGTTGCTTGCAGGTTTCTGAACTTACGTTACTGATTTCAGTAGTAGATCGAATAGCCCTAATGAATAGTCAGTGAGGTTTAAATGAATAAACCCAACCTGTGTCTGGCTTTAAGCTACTAGCCATTAATGTGGATTTGTTGGGTGGAAAACATTTTGGGCAGCTTGTGGAGTCTGCATGTGCCTGCATTATTTTAAATTGGTTCAGATTTGCCTTTGGTTTCCTTAAATTTCCATCCTAGTCTGTGTATATGACCCCCAACTTTAGCATTACGACTATCCATGACCACAGTGGTCAATAGGGACTCTGACAGGGAACTACTGAATGGCAGTGGTTTTTGTTTGTTTTTTTTCATAATTTATTGTTTAGAATTTTTTATTTTTTGTGTGTAATTTTTAATTTTTTTATGAATGACATTTTATTCAACCTTTTTTGAATTACTATTTTGAAAAGAACCTGAAGGTAATTTATGAAGATTGATAGCACACACAGGTTCCCCACAGGGTTACCGGTGTAATGGGATCAAACATAAGATAGGCACTGGCCTTGCTATGTAAATACACTACTGTTATTTGTCAGTGGCCTCCAAGTACATGCTAGCAAACTCCATAGAGAGGAACCAAGTTTAGCTCAAAGCAGATCCCTAGTTTAAAATTACAAATACTAAAATAAAAGGGGGATTGAGTTATAGGTCTACTGTAATATGGCAGTAAGATTATGTACAGTAAGCTGAATATACTTACATATGTAGACATTTTAGACTAAAGTGGTTCTAAAGGCAGAACGTTTTTTATCTTCATGCATTCTATGCATGAATGTAAAAAACCTTCTGGGTGCAGTCCCCCTCTCCTTATACAAAATCAGTCCAGCGATGTGCACAGGAGCCTTGGCTGTCCTGAGTCTCTCTCTCCTTATTGGCTCACTCAGCCAATGGCTCCCGCTGCTTTAAATCACAGCCAGTGAGCCAATGAGAGAGCAGAGGTGGAGCCAAGCTGCGCTCTGTAAATGAATGGACAATGTCCATTCACAGTAGCATGGCTCGAGAGCCCCCATAGCAAGAGGCTTGCCAATGGGGGCAGGAGGGAGGAGCCATGACCGCTAACGGTGGGGTCCCAAAAAGAAGACGATAGGCTGCTTTGTGCAAAGCCATTGCACAGAGCAGGTAAGTATAACATGTTTGTTTGTTTTATTTTACCTTTTAGAATCACTTGCACTTAATAGGTTTTGTTGTTTTTTAGATATTCTAACATTATTTCAAATATAATTTGACAGGCTTCTGGCAACTATATCCCTTTAGTACAGTTTCCAGACCACTATCTAGACTGTTGAAAAACATTAAACATAAAATAAAACTGCACTTCAAAGAGAAATATAAGACACTAACACATCTGTTTTCATTATCACATGTATTTCTGAAACTTAAATGTCCCTTTAAATCGTTCATTAAAACCAAGTTGGCTCAAACTATCTGCTGCACTAACAGTTGCGCTTGCTGGGTGCCCTATATTACTTGTATGTAGCCTCAGCTTCATACAGTACAAAGCTCAGTGTTCGAGTTGTGAGATAGGGACTTCCCGTCCCATTCCCTGAACAATAAGGAGTTGGGCTGAGTGATGCTCAGCCATTCATAGGAAGCCTTGTATTGTAATAATGAACTTAAAAAGCTACAATTTCTGGGGAAATTGTGTGAAGTGTTCTTGCCTCCACCAGTAGTCTACAATGTCAATGGGCGGCGTGAGTTGCAAACAAATGGTCATATTGTGAAAATTATCAGGACTATGGCTTAGCCGTGGACATTTTTACTGGCAGCAGAGATAGCTGAACGTTTTGATATAAGATTTGTGTAGGTGGGCTTGAAAATGAGGGAGTGATGGCAGTTTAGAAATCATGTCCTGATTTTTCAGCTCACACTCTAGCTTTTGTCAGCTCCCACTCTAGTTTTGAACATTCCGCCATTCATTCCTATGGGACCAATTTCACCACAAAAACGCCGATATTTCGTGAACCATTCGGCGAAAATGTTCCACAAAGTGATAGCACAGCAATCGGGAACAATCCGCACATTTCGGTAAATTACTGTCTATGTAGTGTAAAAACTGTGGGAGGAGTTAGGGTGGTAAATTTGGCTATAATAATAAGAATATATATGTGAGATAACAGTAAGTGGTCTTGCCATGCAAGAACACTTAATAAAAAGCTTCCTCTGCATGGCTGAGGTGGAGATTGTGACATCATCTGCCTGCCTCTCTGCCTCAGCCAATCAGGGATGTTTTTTCATTTTTTCATAGAATACAAAGCTTCCCGTTAATGGTAGAGCGGCACCCGACCCAACTCCATTTTGTTCCAGGGGTGGGATGAGAAGTTACCGTCCCACAGCCGGAACACAGTGCTGTATACTGTATGTAACTGAGGCTACATACAGTTCATGCAGCGCACCCAGCAAGTACATCTGTACAGTAAATAGTTTGTTTGAGCCTACTTTGGACCAAACTAATTATTTAAAGGACCTTAAACATGGATATCCGCAGAGCAAGTAGCTGAAATTAACCTGGTTTCAGCTTCTTGCAGAAAATGAAGCAGTACATGTAGCCAGTCTTGTTTACTGCAGTGTTCAGCTGCTAAAAAGGGACATGCTGATTGGGGGAGGAAGCAGAGTGGATGGGGGGGGGGGGGGTGTGAGTGTTGCTTCCTTATTTCACTCTTCAGTCTCAGGTTAGGGAGGGGACAAGTAGAGCACCCTTGCATGTATGTCATCTGTGTCTATTTAGTTGTTCTCTTATATTTCAGCTTACAAACATATGTTCCTTTACTATTTTGTTTCCCGTTTGCCTATATCATGGCTAAAGTCCAGTGTTCCCACTTAAATATTGACCTTATCTTTGGTTGCATTTTTTTTTTTGTTGTTTTTGCAGTTTGTCAGTCACCTAATTTTTATTTGGGCTCTCAGTGAGGCACTAAAGGCATTTTAGTTTACCTGTGGATGGCTCCTTTAAGATTTTTTTTTGTTGTTGTTCTTGATCCAGCACTTCAGAACCCAGAAGTTGTGGCGCTTAGAGGTGGTCTCAGTACTGTCCTGAAAAATGTGATTGACTGCCAGTTAAGCCGAATAAATGAGGCACTCATCACCACAGTCCTGCACCTTCTCAATCATCCAAAGACACGACAATATGTGCGCGCTGATGTTGAATTAGAGGTAGGTGCCACTTTGTGTGTTAACTTGCCGGTGGTACTCCGCTTCTCAAGGAATGCTAACAGCTGTTATTATATAGGAGAATTAATTAGTAACTTGTGAAAAAAAAACACCCCCCTAATGGAGAGAACTGCAACCAGGCAATTGCAATGTTACCAGTTACTAGATGGATGTATTATTTTAATGGTCTGTCCTTTTCTAAGACCATTAAGATGGACTCCTCTGCACAACATATCATTTTAATCTGTTTAATCTTCGGATCCGATTTAGTTTCTGCCTTGCGGATTGTGTAAATTTGTACTGTAACCCTGTTAAAGTGGGAGATCAGGGAGGACTGACTGAATTACACAGCCCCTTTGACTGTAAAAAATATTTGATTATTAAAGTGGGCTTGTCAGAACATACTGGTCAGCTAACAATACTGTTAAGTTGCAGGTATGTTGTGGTGTTTGCAAGTACCTGATCTCAGTCCCATTGAAATGTTCTAAAGTCATATAAAGCAAGGAGTTGAAGATATACACATGCACTGATCAGCCATAACCTAATTACCAAAAACAGGTTAAGTGAATAACATTGATTATCTTGTTACAATGGCATCTAAAAGTGGGATATAATAGGCAGCAAGTAAACATGTTGTCCCTGTAGTTGATGTGTTGAATTAAAAAAAATTGGCGTCACAGTTTGTTGTATATATCTAGATATGGTCAGGGTGCCCGTGATGACCCGTGTTCACAGCCAAAAAGCACCTACTATGGGCATGTGACCATCAGAATTGAACCATGGAGTAATGGAAGAAAGTGGCTTGGTCTGATGAATCCCGTTTTCTTTTACATCATGTGGCTTGCCCGGTGCGTGTGTGTCACTTGGGGAAGAGATGTCACCAGTATGTAGTATGGGAAGAAGGCAAGCCAGCGGAGGCAGTGTGATATTTTGCGCAAAGTTTTGCTGGGAAACTTTCTGTTCTGCCTTTCATGTGGATGTTACTTTGACACGTACCACCTACCTAAACATTGTTGCTGAACAAGTATACCCCTTCATGGAAATGGCATTCTGTGATGGCAGTGGTTTCTTTCAGTATTATAATGCTACCTGCCACACTGCAAAAATGGTTTGAAGAACATTACAAGGAGTTTAATGTATTGACAAATTGACTTGGCCTCCAAATTCTCTAGATCCCACCCCAATCATGCAACTGCAGGATGTGCTGGAACACAAGTCCAACCCATGGAGGCCCCACCTCACAACTTATCACAGCATACCTTCAGATTTTTAGCTGTGCCCATGCCTTAATGGCTTAGGGATGTTTTGGTGGTAAAGGGGAAACCTACTCAATATTAGGTGGATGGTTATAAAGTTGTTTTTTTTTTTTAAATAACAATAGAACAAAAAAACAAATCAATTAAGTTTTAATATAGAAAAACAGATCCGACATATACTTTCAAGCAGTACACTAGTGTAGGACATCTTTATCAACACAATGTCAAATGAAACATTGTCATCATGCAGAAATGTCAGTAATTTCTTCAAATTCAGTGTAATTTACCCAACCACTCTTTGGGGCAGTGCGTACCACTCAGGGTGGTCATAAAGGTATTGCTGATTGGTATATGTGTAAACTGATACAGATTTGTGTACAGGAATAGGCTAAAATGCTACTAATCATTGCACGGATCTGCTTAGCAGATATTGGTAGAGGTTCTCAGCTTTTTTAAAATTAAAAAATAATGCATTTTAGTATTACCTATATAGTCTTTTCTAGGGATCCACTGATACGTTTTTTTTTTTAATCGGCGAGTACGAGTACTGATACTTTGTGGAGTGATTTGCATTAATGTAATATAAAACATCAGACAGCGAAAATAAAATACAATCAATATTAATTGAAAAATTATACCAAAATAACTATATATTGCATAAAAATTCTAAATAAATAAAAAAATATATATAAATAAAATAAAATAGTTCCACTACAAATTATTAAAAAGAATAAGGTGGATGAAATAAAACTGAAAAGTCCTTCTCCAAAGAGCCTTTGACCCGTGTTGACTTCGTAGTGCTCAGATAACATACCGCACTCACCAGATAATGGTGAAAAAAATGCCTTTTTAGGTTTTTTTTGGGATCTTAGACCCAATCGATACAGACTCCAATCACCGGGTTTAACATGGACTTCCCCCACTCTAGGTAGGATATAAGCCTTAGACCTCCAAAACGTAATTTAAACCAGACTCCAACCTCCAGGATCAACAGAAACCACTCGCCAAAAAGGATATGATTTATGCAGAGAGAGAAAAAATATATATAGTGTAATACTTCAAAACTCAGACAGGATCAATTTTCAAGTACCAAACCACTCACGTTGTTAAAAGATATAATCAGCATTTATTGTTTTAAATGGAGCCAAAACGTCACATCACCGGGGTATTTAAGGATCTCACAGTCAGCAACAGATGACAGCATAAGATTCACCCTCAAGCAAGTTGGCCCCTGAGAGCGCCACACAGCGGCATGCGCTCCATTCACCGGAAGTGATGTGGTACATTGGACGGCGAAGCCGGAAATGCGCCAGCATGTTTCGCCCCTCCTCCAGGGCATTTTCACAGACAGGTACCCATGAAAATAGTCGATTTCGGCACTGATATTGGTATCAGTGCATCCCTAGTCTTTTTCAGTGTTGGATGTGTAGCATTGCTGGTAGTTTCCTTCACTGATGAACCCTGACAGTTTTTTTTGTACTAAGGTGCCCCAGGGAAGAATATGATCACTTTTTGTTAGCTTCTAGTAGCAAAAATCGATCAGGGTGAAACCGTTTTATGAGACCATAGACACTCATTTTAGGCATAATGTTTTTTGGCATAAAGCTTGTTCAGTCAGCTACATGACCGTTATTGGCAGCTTTCTTTGGTTAAAAAAGAACAAAATCATTTTCATGGCGTTTACGATTGCTCTAAAATAGTGAATTAGGCACTATGTATATTCCAGTGGAAAGAATAGATACTGCCGTGCGATTGGGGAGGATGTGCCAGGATAATAATAGTACACAACTAACAAAAGTTTTGAAGAAAAGGCTGCATTTACCACCTATTCTTGTGTAAACTGTTCAGTTCACCTTATAAAACAGTCTAATTCTTGTTTATTTTTGCTTTAGCAAATTTTAGCTCCATACACAGACTTTCACTACAGGCACAATCCAGACACAGCAGAAGGACAGCTCAAGTAAGTGCATACCTTTTCTTTTACTCAATTATCATGTTTATAAAGCAGTGGTACAGTGCATGCAGAAAGTATTCAAATTTCTGGATGTGTGCTTAACTTTTGCCACATTTTGTTATGTTACAGCCTTATTCCAAAATGGATTAAATTAATTTTTCCCCTCAGCATTCTCCAAACAATACCCCATAATGACACTGTGAAAGAAGTTCGTTTTGAAATCTTTGCAATTTAAGAAAAATTAAAAATGGAAAAAAACCCCATGTACATGAGTATTCACAGCCTTTGCTCAATACTTTAAGGAACCTTTAGTACCAATTGCAGCCTCAAGTCGTTCTGAGTATGATGCTACAAGCTTGGCACACCTATTTTTGGGCAATTTCTCACATTCTTCTTTGCAGTACCTCTCAAGCTCCTTCAGGTTGGATGGGGAGCGTTGGTGCACAGCCTTTTCAGATTTCTCCAGAGATGTTCAATCGGGTTCAAATCCGGGCTCTGTCTGGGCCACTCCAGGACATTCATAGAGTTGGCCCGTAGCCACTCCTTTGTTATGTGGGCTGTGTGCTTAGGGTCGTTGTTCTGTTGAAATATTAACCGTCGCCCCAGTCTAAGGTCCAGAGTGCTCTGAACAGGTTTTCATCAAGGATGACTCTACATTGCTGTATTCATCTTTCCTTTGATCCTGACTAGTCTCCCAGTTCCTGCCACTGAAAAACATCCCCATAGTATGATGCTGCCACCACCATGCTTCACTGTAGGGATGGTATTGGCCAGGTGGTGAGCGGTGCCTGGTTTCCTCCAGACATGACGCTTGGCCTTCAGGCCAAAGAGTTCATCTTCGTTTCATCAGATCAGAGAGTTTTGTTTCTCATGGTTTGAGAGTCCCTCGGGAGCCTTTTGACAAACTCCATGCAGGCTGCCATTTGCCTTTTACTGAGAAGTGGCTTCTTTCTGGCCACTCTACCATACAGGCTTGATTGATGGAGTGCTGCAGAGATGGTTGTTCTTCTGGAAGGTTCTCCTCTCTCCACAGAGAAACGCTATAGCTCTTTCAGAGTGACCATCGGGTGCTTGGGTTACCTCCCTGGCTAAGGTCCTTCTCCTTGAATCGCTCATGTTGTCCAGGCGGCCCGCTCTAGGAAGATTTTTGGTGGTTCCAAACTTCTTCCATTTACGGATGATAGAGGCCACTGTGCCCATTGGGACCTTCAATGCTGCAGAAATTTTTCTGTACCCTTCCCCAGATCTGTGTCTTGATACAATCCTGTCTTGGATGTCAGCGGACAATTCCTTGGACTTCATGGCTTGGTTTGTGCTCTGACATGCACTGTTAACTGTGGGACCTTATACAGACAGGTTTATGCCTTTCCTAATCATGTCCAATCAACTGAACTTCCCACAGGCAGACTCCAATCAACTTGTGGAAACATCTCAAGGATGATCAGTGGGAACAGGATGCACCAGAGCTCAATTGTGAGTGTCATGTCAAAGGCTGTGCATACTTATGTACAGTTGTGTTCAAAATAATAGCAGTCAGACGACATCACTAACCTGATTTTTACAACCTAAGAAATCAGGTTACAACCTGATTTTTGGTAGAAATGATATTTCTACATGGCAAATAATTTACTAGCAGGTGTAGTACAATAATAGAAATCCAACAGACCCAACAGTCATGACATGTATGCTGCTGATTCTGTGTAATTGAATCACTAACTGAATGGGGCATGTTCAAAATAATAGCAGTGTGGAGTTCTGTTAGTGAGGTCATTCATTCTTTGAAAAACAGGTGGCAATTATTGCCCTTATTTAAGGAAGGAAGGCAGCAAATGTTGTACATGCTGGTTACAGTGCATTTCTCTCTGAAATTCTGAGGAAAATGGGTCGTTCCAGACATTGTTCAGAAGAACAGCGTACCTTGATTAAAAAGTTGATTGGAGAGGGGAAAACATATAAAGAAGTGCAGAAAACGATAGGGTGCTCAGCTAAAATGATCGCAGATGCTTTAAAATGGCAACCAAAACCTGAAAGACGTGGAAGAAAGCGAAAAAAACTACCATTCGAATGGATAGAAGAATAGCCAAAATGGCAAGGACTCAGCCAACAATCAGCTCCAGGAAGATGAAAGAAGGTGTAAAGTTACCTGTGAGTACGGTTACAATTAGAAGACGCCTATGTGAAGCCAAGCTATCTGCAAGAAGCCCCGCAAAGTCCCACTGTTGAAAAAAAGACATGTGCTGAAGAGGTTACAATTTGCCAAAGAGCACATTGACTGGCCTAAAGAGAAATGGCGCAACATTTTATGGACTGATGAAAGTAAGATTGTTCTTTTTGGGTCTAGTGGCCGGAGACAGTTTGTCAGACGACCCCCAAACACTGAATTCAAGCCACAGTACACTGTGAAGACAGTGAAGCATGGTTGCACAAGCATCATGATATGGGGATGTTTCTCATACTACGGTGTTGGGCCTATTTATCACATACCAGGGATCATGGATCAGTTTGAATACATCAGAATACTTGAAGAGGTCATGCTGCCTTATGCTGAAGAGGAAATGCCTTTGAAATGGGTGTTCCAACAAGACAACGACCCCAAACACACCAGTAAACGTGCAACATCGTGGTTCCAGACCAACAAGATTGACGTTATGGAGTGGCCTGCCCAATCCCGGATCTTAATCCAATAGAAAACTTGTGGGGTGACATCAAAAATGCAGTTTCTGAAGCAAAACCAAGAAATAGAGAAGAACTGTGGAATGTAGTCCAATCATCCTGGGCTGGAATACCTGTTCACAGGTACCAGAAGTTGGTTGACTCCATGCAACACAGATGTACAGCAGTTCTCAGAAACAGTGCCTATACAACTAAATATTCATTAAGTGATTCAAAGGAAAGCAAAATCTTCAAACATTTTTCAGTTTATATAGTGAATGTCTGAGTTTGTAAAGAAGAATACAAACACTGCCTTTTTTTGAACAGTCTAATATTCACTTTTCTTCAATTATTTTAGAGGAACACCACAAATTTGATATATTTTTCTTCATGTTTTGATTTGGAATAGAATATGTCGTGTTCCCAATGCATTTGTGTGTATGGAAATAAAAGCTATTAGAAGGATTTTGAGCTTTATTCACTTTTTTTCAACACACTGCTATTATTTTGAACACAATTGTACATGTTTTTTTTTTTTTTTTTTTTTTTTTTTTTAATAAAAGATTTTAAAACAAACTTCACGTTTTCATTATGGGGTATTGTTTGTAGAATGTTGAGGGAAAAAAATCAATGTAATCCATTTTGTAATAAGACTGTAACATAACACAATGTGGCAAAAGTTAGCTCTGTGAATAATTGTATATGTATCACAACTACCTGCGCTAGGACTGGGAAATAAGTTACTAAATGTGAAAAACATGTGATTCCTTATAAATTACTGTGTGACAATCTTTAAAATGAATTTGGGCTGCTGCTGAGGTAGAGTGAACCCCCTAAACAAACAAACCAAGATGAACAAGTCCCAGCGCTTCCCTATACAATAACACATAGCCACATAGTGTCCAATATAAGTGCAAACACCAATCAACTAAAAGTTCAAATAATTATAGTCAATTGTGATGATGTGCAATCTTCTTCCAAAGTGCCAAATTGCTGTGCGATGCTCCCCTCCTTTGTTCCCCCACTCACCGACAGTTGTGGAGTCTTATATTTAAAGAGTCTAATGTGTATCACAAATACATATAGAAGAAAAGAATGGCGAGAAGGCCCACATAGCGAAATACTATTTATTAGAATCTCAATTTTAAGATTCATTGCACTTGCATAAATAAAATGTACAATCTCATAAAAACCGCTGCACCGGAAATCACGCTTCAGTGTGCGTTCCGGCCAGATGTGATGTCATGTCTAGTCTCCGTCCCGGGTGGAGTGAGAGGACATCAGATATTCATCTATAGGAGATGCAGCAAAGGAGAAAATGACTATCAGGAACACAAGTCCCAGCGATCCGAAGGAATTTGTAATACACGTTAGACTCTTTACATATAAGAGTCCACTGCAGTCCAGCGTGAGCACTGCAGCCTGACTGGCTCCTTGTACAGCTCCTACCTCTCCTATAAGCTGTGATATACAAGGACTGCAAGAGGCTGGTACTAGGTCAACTTTCTTTTTTGTTTTTTTTAAAAAAAGCTTCATTAATTTTTAATGCACCCTTACCTCCATACACTTTTACCCTTTTTTATAAAATTATCTTTCTTCTCTTGACCTTTATTATTGGACAAAGAGGGAGGGAGAAGGGACAAGGCCAAGTTTGACTTTTATAGCAAAATGATGAAAATGATTAAAGCGTACAGCAAAGCAGAACCCCCCCCAAAAATAAAAAAGCGCAGTGTGCAATGCATGCAGATTCTGACATTTTTTCCTTTAACCACATCACTATGGGTGGCGAGCAGCCACTGCGCCTGTTAGTGTCTGTGATCGGAGTCGCAATCAATCACTGACAGAATGTGCAAACCTGATCCGAGGCAATGACCAATCACAACGAATACAAATGTAAAAGTTCAACAGACATAACAAAACACTTCCAGTGGTCTGTGTAATGCTACCTATACACTAGTCGGAAAATCATTCAAACAGGTTTTTGAAAAATGAGCTCCTGGTCCTGAGAACAAACGATATTGCCATCATGTAATGACCAAATTTCGAACAATAAATCGTTCAGTGGACATAATGAATCAATATTTTGTCTTGTTTTTTGCTTCTTGGTCACATATGTGCAGTACCAACTGTTTGATTTTTTTTCACAGTCGAGAAACAAAGTAACCTTTCAATTTATTGTCCGTTCGGCAGAAGTTTTCCAAACTTTTCCTTCGATTCTTTTTTGGCTCAAAAACGTCACTACTGATTTTTTTTTTTTTTTGTGCCTATTAACTGGATGAAAAACAAACGAAACTTTCCAAATGACAGATTTTCAATCAATTTTTCATCTAGCATAAGGCCACATAACAGACCAA